GGTCAAGACGATGCAAAGCTGCTTGGCGCGGCTGCAGCATGCGTCTCACGATGGCCGCATGCTGCCCGGTGGCGGCGCGGTCCTCGTCGCAATCTCAGCGGCGCTGCAGCCGCGCGAGGACCTCGCGGCAATTGCGACGGCCTTCGAGTCGATCGGCTTGCAGCTGCTGCAGAACGCTTCGTCCTTGCCGTACTTGGAAGCCAAGAGCACGTGGCGCCGTGTCTACGCAGCGTACCGTGACGGCTTGGACGAAAGCGACAAGTTCTTAGAGACGGCGTTCTACGGCCGCCGGCTGCGGCTCCTCCAAGACCATCGCGTACGCTTCGATAGCTACAATAGCACAAAAGACGCGCTCCGGGCCGCCACGCGACTCGTGACGTTGACGGCCATGCTCGGGCCGGCCGTCATCAACGTCCCGTAAAGTGCTCAAGTAGAAAAATAGTCACATGGTGGTCTGCGTGCATACTAGTACCATCGGCTAGAGCAACATAGGACATGTTGTCCAATGGCATCTTTCAAGTCCATTTCTGTAGCCAACGATTGAAAAATGACAAAATTCCGAAGCTCCTCGCTTTGTACGTTGACACGGTGGCGTGCCGTAGCAGGCGGGCTTGCTGCTCATCGTTTTTGCGAGCGCGTCGTTCGGGGCGAGCTTCGTGGCGACGACCTTGTTGATTTTGACGCCGCCGCAAAGTCCGTACGGGCACCCGCCGCAGTTGTGAAGGGTGACGAGGACGTTGCCGGCGGGCGAGAGCACTGGCGAGCCCGAGTTGCCGCCTTGCGTATCGAGTCGCACCCGATTTCATCTTGGCCGCACGCGTGTGGATGCGCGCATTCGAGACGACACTGAGCTTGCCCGAGTCGACGACGGTGCTGCGGCCATCCGCGAGAGTGACCAATGACATGGATCGGCTCGCCGAGTTGGGGCTCCGTAGGTCGCATTTGGAGATACCCCACGGCGTCAGATCCCCGTTCCCGACCTGTAAACGCGCAAAATCCAAGTAATCCAAGTTGCTGTCAAGCCAGACAAGCTCGGCCTCGGTCGCGACGCCTGAGCATCTCCATCCGACGTTCTATTCCCTTGCACGCGAGCGGCTTCTTGTTGTCGGCGACATCGCAAGCGCAGACAGCCCCGAGCTCGACTTGCGTATTTTGGATCGCGGCGTCTTGATGCAGTCACTGGTGGTTGGTTATGAGGTATACTACCCTTCCGAGCCGAGGAGCCATCCGGTGCAGAGCGACTTGCCGTTGATGAGCAGCCGCGCGCCGAGTCGTCCTTGCCGCACATGGCTTCGGACACATTGGACGACGGATACCCAAAGCCCACCTTGCCGATCGAAACCACTGACGTCGTCGGCTTGTTAGTCTACTACGAGTAGCCCATTGTGGTAAGTCTTTTTGATATAGAGTACGTAGAGTAAGAACAAGAGTAGCTTAGCATTGGGCGTTATAATCGGCAAGAACTAGGCGACTACGCGAGCGAGGGTGGGCCTATGCGACTACACGGAGCATCGGCGGCAAACACACGGACGGGCTCGGTCGAGCGAGAATGCAGTAGGATGGACTACGACAGACAGAGCTCAAACAGCTCAAAAATGCAAATTCGAATGAAAGTCCCTCAGATATGAAAATTGTACAACTAACGTCTTTCGTTCAGACCATATTGCTACGGCAATCAGATCGCCCGACGCGTTTTTAAGTCATTGGGACATTCACACACACACACACAGAAGCATACATCGATCAATCATACACGTCGAGATCCAACGATCCCGACCGTCGACGCCAGAAAAAAACAGAATAAAGACGGAAAAATACACATCCTACGCAAAACATGCAGACCGAGCCCAGTCCAAACAACAAGAATTGTTTGATGAGGGGCAGTAAATATACAATTTCCCAGGCATATATTTATCTATACATACGCGAGTCGGAAAGCAGTGCAAGTTTACTTTTCCTTCTTCGCGACGCGGTACGAACCGACGACCACGGCGTGGTCACGCTCATA